AAAAACAATAAACAGACAGCCCCCACAATAAACACGGAAAGTAAAAAGTACATTGACTTCGGTAATAGTTAATAATTGACTATGAAACCATATAATACCTAACATACAGGTAGAAGACACCACTTTCATGATCAATGTTAAAGAAAATAATGGAGAGGAAGAAGAACAACAAGAACAACGAAATAATGTAATATATACAGTTTATTATCAATTACTTAAGATGGGGTTAAATTTGCATTTTTGTTTGATACTTTGGGGGTCTTTCTCAAATAGTTTCTGGTCTATTCTTTCATGAGAAAAGGAATTCAAACCTCAAATAAATAACGATCGTTAATCGTTCGTGACGTAGCGTCTTAGCGGTATACAGTTTTAGATATCATGACATATTTTAGAAACATGGCAAGAGATTTTACAGTGTATAGACTTGAAATATGATCAAAGCTGGTAAGGATCAATAATACCAAATTCTACGTCACTTTGCATTAAGAGATTTCTTTTATAACCTCAATAACGATTAAACAAATAGAATCAGTAGTTTTTATGCTTAGAAAATGTGAGATTCTTGAGATTTTAATTTGGATAGGCTTAAAGTATAACAACAAAAGAATACTTATTTTACAGATACTTATGTCAATATCATATAACAGAAGTAAAATCTAGATCTTCAACTATATATATCCAGTATAATTATGTTAACAATTCTGTGTATATACAATGTACGGAGAAAAAGAAAATTGAACATGTTAATGTAATATGTAGGCGACATTTACAGCGTATATATAATTTCTATAACTATTTTCGAAGTTAAGAAAAAAAGAGAACAAAGAAGAAAAGTAAAAATACGAACTTTAATATTTTAAAGGGCAAACCAACTCTAATTGTAATAAGTTTATTCGTATGAAAACAGAAAAATACAATAAAAAGAATGGCGAAAGTCTAAAATAAATTGGACCAATAGTAATAAGAACGTTATGGATGTTTTAAAATAAGAGATCAATATAAAGTCTATGTGTATTTTAAATTGGCAGATTGGCCAGTGAATTGTGACGTATAGTGATTGATAACTCACCCGTTTTTCGTATAAAAAACGATCATTATATTTCTCTTTTTTTTTCTCGCATAAGCGCCTTCACCCTTTGGGCACTACTCAAAATATGTCATGGATATAGCATATTGTTATAGACCGTTCTGAGTCATTTTTGTTTGTTTGGTTGTTGTTGTCATTTTGTGTATTGAAAGTTTGGAACATAGTGGAAAATTGCCCGCCACAACATCGTAGAGACATTACCGATTCAGACAATTTGAAGAGCCAACATATCTATAGTGATTACAAATTTCAAATTTCATAGCTTTCTCATTTTTGTCCGATTTTATTCAAACTTTCACCAGTCTACTTCTCAGATTTTTCTCCTTTTCTCTAGAGTGGTTTGATAACAAGGTTAGATTTCCCTTTAAAGGTAATTAAAAAACTTTGTACAAAAAGTGCATGGGCCAGTAGTCTGTTCCTAAATAGTCGTCCCATTTCCCCCATAAGAATTGACCGAACAAAGTTACTTAGACCATCCATGCCATCTACGAAGAAGATATCAACCTGAACATTGTCCTCGCGGGTTTCGTCCCCGAAAAGGGAAATCAAGTCGACCACTTTTGTTCACCACATCTATACCCATGCACCAAACTTTGCCAGGGAGAAGTTGTAGGTACATCTATTTAGACACAAAAACTGAAGAAACAAAATCTAAGGTGGGGATTAATTTTCAGTGGAACGTAGTGTACATACAAAATTTTAGTCTTCCGGAATATGTATGATAGGTATTTAAAAGAGAAATAACAATAACAATCCTATCGTAAATCAAGAGCCCAGAAGCCAGACACAAGGTTACCAGAGAAATCATTAAAAGCACTCTAAATGGTAAGCAGCAAAATATTGTACAGTCCAGAAAATATGTGTTTTGTAGTGATAACAATGTACTTATATAGTATGTATATTTACTTTCACAACTTTATTTTGATACTCGAATGTGAATAGACACCTCAATCGAGGCACATACACAAAAGTATTCTCTTTACAATTGTGTCCTTGAATACAAACGTGGTTACAATGGTAAAATCACACTTGGGTAGACCGTCTGTCAATATCATGCAGTTTGCGCATTTATAAATAGAAGTTGGTTTTCCGTAAGAGCGTAAAAGCACATTTGAAGTTATTGGCGGTATTCATCATTTTCATCTATAGTGAGTGACTTACTTAGGCTTTCAGTGGTGGATATATTATGTTGGAGATCCACTTTAATTATTAGAATCCTGGATGATAGAGCGAGATGTTTTATTTGCTTTTATTACTATATTTGGAAGAATAAAGGACCGGCGGTTACTACACATGTTTTAGACCCCCGCTTTCTCCACTATTCTTCCTTTATCTCTGTCCGTTTCTCTCTTTCTCTTCCTCTTTCTCCATCAACCATTAACAGGCTTTACAGTGTCAATAAACAATACCGTATGCATGCAACGAAATAATGTAAATGTAGGTATAGGCTAGGTTTACATCTTATACATACTTACTATAAATATTTTCTAATTACAAAAAAAAAACATATGAGGAAAATAAATTATACGATATTTGAGACATGTTTATAAGGTATTTTACAAAACTGTTTACAAAACAGAAATAGAGACCTGGACCCCGTATTATAAAGAGTTGATATCAATCTTAACTTATTTGCGATTGATATCAATCGCAACTATGTAAATAAGAGATATGATAGTGCGAACATGCCAATGATTGGTGAACTCACAATTTATTTGGATCAATCGTAACTCTTTGTAAGACTGTGCTCAGGAGTAGGTATCGAAATAGTTGCCCAATTTTACCCATAGGAATTGACTTTTTGTCTTCACCAAATATAAAGCATCAACATTTCCATCGAGACGCGGTTATCACACCCCTACCCCTCTTAGAAAAACAGGAAAAGAATAACAGATATATAAAAATGAGGGGGGGGGGGAGCGGGGGGGGGGAGCGGGGGGGGGGGAGATTGTTCTCGAAGCTAGATCGTTTATGCACGGATTTTCTTCGATATCATCTATTTAGTATCATCTGGGGTGTCATTTCTTTATGATGGGGAAACATTAAAATTATGTTTTCTCCAGTTTCATCCCTGGGTTTGCCTTACATGTCTACTTACATGACCAGGGGTAGGTGTTCAATATTATCATCATGTCTACAATTTATTATATGATAACCATAATCTTTTCTTACATCATTCTCTATCCACCGTTATAAAATGGAAATGAAGACATTTTAAATTCCGCGTCAAAAATCGATAATCTGTATAGATTCAATAGAATTGAATTGAATTTAACTAAACAGAATCGAATTGAAGCGGTAATCATTTTGAAAAAGACAACTGCCGAATTTACATGAAAGATTCAAAATGAAATTACTATTTATTACAACGCAGTAATATTTACACCATGGTCCCCAGTGTATTAAGGATTTAAAATAAATTTGTTTTGATGTATTATTAAAGTTCAAACAGTAGCATAACTACGAAGAGTAAAATGACATTATAAAAATGAACACAACAATTATGATACAAATGACTTCACAGGATGACCCATGGAAGCTTAAAAGCTTCTTCATAATGGCGTCCTAATGACAAGGTCAATATTAATTGTAACTTCATTTATATATACAAAATAATCACAATAAAAATTAAAAAACATGATGTCAAACAAAATAACCTTTTAAATACTGTACTTTGATAATAACATCATAAGGGATATAACACTAATAAGAAGTTAATCAATATTTTATCAATTTTCAAGATAAACATAATATGAAATCATATCACGTTATCAGTTGCTTCTATTTCTTGCATCTCAAGTGGTAGGTACCTTTCAAATTCAAATTCAAAGTTGGTAAAGTTTTGAATTGCTTCTAAGTAGCATTAATTTTTTTGGATAAAATTGTAGGAAAAGACATAAGTGAAAATTGATGGCAGACGTTTAATTTTTGTGTGTGCTTTGAGACAGACACTTGAAAATGAAATATCAATAACAAAAAAATTATAGCAACGAATACCGGCTTACTAAAGAGATTCATCTTGCACTCATTAGAGTAAATCGCAAAAACGATGAGCCAAGACGAAAAAGGTTTCAACAGTGTGTCTGTAGTCGTTGTTATTCTTTGATTTTGCAGTAACGATCATCTGTTAAAACTTTAAAGAGAAAACAATTGCACAGCGCAAGAAATATACAGTATACTCATTAACATATTCTATCGAAAAAGGGACGTTATTGTATTATATTGGATAATTTCAACTGTGTATAGAGGCAAATAAATAATATCAAGAGAATTGACATCTTCTTATTCGTTTAGTATAAATACTAAACAATATAATATGAAACATTATATGCCCATATTAGAATAGAGCTGGAGCAGAGAGGTATACATAACACCAATGATGGTAATGGAGTGTGACACGGACTACAGTAATACCTTGATAAAATACAAGCGCTTGCCAGAAGCAAACGCGAGCATGTCTGGGGAGAGGGAAACCAAGTAACACCAAGGAAACCTACATGCAAGCTTCAGTACATTGAACTCAACTCTCTCCTTCAGGTTTAAACCATCAATGTCATAGAGCCTGATCACCACATTACTATTCTTACCATCAACACTCGCTACATACACTCTGTCCTGCTCATCCACGGCAGCATACAGGTGGACATAGTCTGGAGCTTGTAGAGACTTACCAGCATTCCCATCCCTGTCATAGACCGTCATCGCGCTTGGATTAGTAGTTGAACATGAACTCGAGACGAACAAACCCGACCTGGTAGAATATACTTGCCTCGTCGTGTTGTGTTTTGTTGGAATAGTGTGTATGAGAGTAGATCCAGTCGGGTCATAGATATATAGACTTGCTTCACACTGTTACATACGAGAATTTCATCTGAATGACTTTTGTTAAGATACATAGTGCCATTCACGCGTTTCACGTGGATGGTTGATTTCCTGGATCCATTGGAAGAAAACATGTGTGCTTCTTTGCTACCTGTTGATATGCATAACGACCTGTCTTGTTGAAACACGAGATCATAACAATTCATGTAACTTGGTATGTTTGCATACTGGTCCTTTGAACCAGCTGAATCAATGATAATAATACCATGTATTGCACCATATACGATAGCTACACTGGCATCAGAGTACGGGGTCATACCCCACATCTGTTCCCGTAGATCTACACATTGAATAACCTGCAACTTGGGATCTGATTCTGATATGCTCCCGAAGCCCAGATGAGTACCATCTGCAGGCTTGGACGTCTTCTTCTGTGCTTTCTTCGTAATGGCTGCAGCAGAATCGTGACCAGTAGTTGATTCTGTAATACTCCCGAGGTCAAGACGAGTATCATCTGCAGGCTTGAACCTCTTCTCCTGTGCTTTCTTCGTAACGGCTGCCGCAGAAGTGTGATCAGTAGCCTTCTTCAGCATGGCATCTAGCTCCTCACAGAGCAAAGTATGAGCAGACAAACTGTCTGTCTCAAGATGACCCAGTCTGTCATTATCTACCAGTGTTATTGTACTACAAATAATCTTGATTCTCTTTAGATCGTTGGATTTCAAGACGTTGAGGTCGTCATCGAAACTTCGCTTTACTGCATTAATGCGCTCGATGAGATTTCGATGATTTTCTTCAAGCTTTTTGGCCTTGATGCTGTAGGCTTGACCGACATCGTCTAGTAATCTCTGCACGGCAGTGTATACTTCATGGCGTTGTACTTCCACATTCTGAATGTTCTTCTCCAGTTCTGATTTCATGGTGGCACAACGCTCGACTAGGTCGTTCACCTAAATAAAAGAGAAATGAAAAGAACATGTTGTAGATTGAGATGTATGCCAATCACATGGAACCGGACTTTGCGCGCGCCTAATGTTTCACACAAGTTAGAACCACGACCCTCCATCATATATTATAAAAATGCAATCCAACTAAATAAGTCCATTTCTTAAAATGCATTAATATCAGATACACAGAGCTATTAATAGTAATTATTGTACTGATAATAATCATCGTCATTATTGTTATAATGATAAATGATAATAATACATATATTAATTACAATAATAAAAGCATAATAATGTTAATAAGAAGAATATTGATACTACTTTTTTTTAGCCAATTATGGTGATGGCGACGACGATGACGATGATTGTCATCAACGTTGTTACTATTATTATTATCATAATTACCATTCTTCTTTTTATTATTATTATTATTAATTATTATTATAATCAGCATCGTCATCATAATCATAGACAAAGACAAATATATCTGTATTGTTATTTTTGATGCAAAGTGCTTACAAAAGATAATAATTGCTATGAGCCCTTTGGCACGAATATGTAATAATGGTTCCTTGACTCCATACCTTTCTCTATATGTTATACATTTTAGAATTTGGAATGGTGACACTGTTTTTTTAGAACCTCTTTTTAATGATTATAAAGCGAAATTAATGATGTCGAACGTTTTTATTCCGGCCAGGATGCCCCCCCCCCTCCACGCTTCTGGCGCCTAAGGGGTACCTCAAGTGAAACTACGTTTAATACCTTAAGCCGTAACTCCTGCTCGAAATCAGTCTGATTCTTGATTTTGTGATTTTGATGACCGACGATCACACACTTAAAACAGACGTGGACCTTACATTCCTCACAAAACATATCTTTGTTCTCTTGTTTGTGGATGCAGCACTTCTCGGATGGATGAACAACGCTGACCTTCCCGTTGATGATATCCTGTATGGATACAATCTCGTGACCTTCAAAGTGTGACTGCTCATGGCTGCAGTCGCAATTAGTGCACATATAGAAATTACACGTTTTACAGAATGAGACAGCATCTCGCTGAAACTTGCATGCAGTGCATTTTGGACGCATCTCAAGGACAGCATTCATCCCTCCACACTTGGCGTGGTAATCGTCTACGAGTCCGTTGACCGTCACATTGGTGAGGAAATCATCGACACGGTTCGCAGACAACTTGGTGGTATTCCTGCAGAGAGGACAGATCATGTGATCTAGGTCCTGCTGGGACAGGTCATAGTTCTTGAGACATTTCCGACAGAAGGTGTGACCGCATGAAGTCAGGATTGTTGCCTCGTCGAAGATATCAAGACATAGTGGACACGTCAGGTTCTCTGAAGAGCTTGGAGCTTTCTCTTCCTCAGCCTTCTCAGCCATGGGTACAAATATCGGATTTTGGCTATTACTATAAACACGAGCTCATTTTAGGCATATATCCAATGTCCAATAAAGCTTACAGTGTGATCAGCTAATGTGTAATTAAAGCCAACAGTCAATTCATGCAAGAACAAACAATATGCAGTGAAGTAGTATATTGTACCATGGTCCTACTGTAATTGTACCAATATCTTGGTTGCACGAAACAAGTATGTCCTAAACGTTGAGTCTCTATTTAAGTATATACATCAATACAAATATGATTACAATGCTAAACTCACACGAGATTGCCTGTGAAAATAATATAGTTTGTGCATCCTATAAATAGAATCGGGTTTTCCCACATAGAATGCGCGCGCAGCTATGAAGCACCTTTGAACTTAATGTCATCCTTTTTATCTATAGAGCGCGACTTGTTAACTTTTTAGTTGTGAATATATTGTGTTGGAGATTCACTTTTTAATAAGTAGAGCCCTAGATAAAAGAGTAAGACATTTTATTTGCTTTTATCACTTATTTTGGAAGGGTAAAAGATGGTAACCACACATTTCACCCCTTCTTTCTACTACTCTTCCTTAATCTCCTTCCATTTCTCTCATTTTCTTCCCTTTTCACTGTCAAAATTTCTCTTAGCTTTTATACGTATGGAATCGTACGAGGCTACACTTATTACAATGCAACATTAGCCTGAAAAAATATTTCATCACTTCCTCTCTTATAAAAAAAAGTCATAATTTAGGCTCATAACCACAATAATGTGAATCGGTCTGTCTCAAGAGCTGATAATGAGAACAATTAAATAAAATAGAATATGTGAGCCAAATTGCACGGAAATATGATTCATTTGAAAAAATAATGTTTTAAAAGGAATCATAGTGGTCTTCCAGGTGATGTTGTGAAGAGTAGCACTATCACTCGCTTCAAATCTGGACTTGAGAACCGGTGGAAGATGCCCCGGATAAATATGATGACAACCCCAACCAAAGAAAACAATGGATAGGAACAACAGTCTAAGACTGAATAATCCTGGATCAAGTGAGTATACAATTGAAGATTTCTGTTTGTGAAACTGCATTTTAAGATAACAAATGTTGTCATTATAAAGTAAATGGGTTGTTTTGGACCAGCAAAATAGCAAAAAAAGCCTGAAAAAGTGCTGGAATTATATATCTGTCTTCAATGGTTTTTCAATGGTTGTGTTTTTCAGCAAGATTGATATCATTGTGTTATCATTTCAATTATTCCAGAATCTCACAAAAGGCCTACATAATTTGGCCTAAACAATTACTCCTATATACACTGTTGGTCATAAAGATGGAATATTTTTTTTAACCCAAATTTATGGAATGCTTTTGAGAGTGATGTATTCCTAATAGATCTAGATAATAGTAGACCTTCTGAGATGTTAATGAATACTTATTTGCGAGTGTTTGTTTTGCGTGACTGCTGAAACATGTGCATGCTACTATGTTTATCAACTAGGGGACCTACGTCCTTATGTCATAACTGACGGTAATGAGGATTAATGCCTCACAAAAGGACACTAATATAGCTAATAGACACAACTTTGATCCTCGGGCCTCACAGTAACGAGGCCATTGCTTTGCCACTGAATCATGACTGTACGCAGTGGGGGCTAGGGTAGGGACAACCCCCACAAATATAAAATGAAAAAAAAAATACAATGAATTATCAATAATTCATTGCTTCCCCCCGGTCCCCAACAGGAAAAATTCCTCTGTGTGGCTATGCATTATGGTTCAGGTCATGGCCACACGTATTTCTCTTTCAGCTCATACATGTCTCGCCTTGGAACAATCGTTTTAGAATTTAGGAAATATCGTCAAACTCTGTAAAGATACTTCTAAATTTCATTGAAGTTGGTCAGAAACATGTATATGTACAAGCCGAGCTGGACAAAATCTCGACTTTTCATTTCCTCTGCATGTTAAATGAGGTGAAAGTGTATTAATTTTTCTTTTTATAGGCCATACGCTATATGTCTAGATAACCTTTTTCTCCAAAGTTTGGCTGGAAATGATACTTTGATTGCATTTATTCATAAACGCTTCACTGAGCAACATAGTTTGGTATACGTTATCATTGTATCATTAGATAGCATAATTATGACTTATAACTAAAAAATCAAGGAGTTATATTTAAATAGCTTATTGATTGTTCACAATATTTCGTTCCTATTTTCACGAAGTGATGGTAGTGAATGAAAATCCCATAAAATTTGCGTGCGGATTTTCCTCACTACCGTCACTTCGTGAAAACAGGAACGAATTGTTTGATTCTGAGTTTCATTTCTTTATCGGACGCACTGTGTATGTGAAGCATTGGAACATTCTTAGAAAATTATTGCATGAATTACAAAAGATTTTGTACAAAGAAATACAATTCTCTTCGAACTATTAGTTTCGCTTCACTGGTAATCATATCCGGACCAAGAATCCACATTTAAGTGTGTCACCATGCTCGATTAAAGTGATAATTAATTACAGATTTCATATTATTACGCCATTTTTACGAGTCTCTGTCTTTGGTGTCATATCACAAACGGCCCTTTATAAGACGTCGTTATTGTTCGTTCGCGCGCGCGCTCTCTCTCTCTCTCTCTGTATTCACTCCTCTCTCTTCCTCGGATCACTTGTCTCCCCTTCTTCTTCTCTCTCTCTCTCTCTCTGTATTACTTCTATCATCTTATTAACCCATTTTTTCCCTTCTCTGTCCCAGTCACCCGATCTGTTATTAATTATTTTCACATATTAAGATGAATTTAAACATAAACACAATCTAAAACTGTGTATCTGAAAAAAACATTTTTTTCGTGAAATTCTTTTCTCTTTGATGTGATTAGAAATATACATAATAAAAGTATATAGCTGACTATAATTATTCAGCTACGATGTTTTTCTGCCTGTCGTTTTAAAACAATAAACAGACAGCCCCCACACACAAAAAAACACGGAAGCCAACAAATAAGTTTACATCGCTAATAGTTATTAATTGTCTGACCATTAAACCATATAACACAAATATCATATACACTGTACACAGAAACATTAACGTGTAAATGTAATATGCAGGCTATATTTACAGCGTATACATACTTTCAATAACTATTTTCGAAGTTGAAACAAAAAGAGAACATAGAGGAACAATAAAAATACGAAAATTTATATCTAAAACGGCAATCCAATTCTTGAAATAAGTTGTATATGTATGAACACAGTACAATAAGATAAAAAGAATGGTGAAAGTCTAAAACGATCGAACCAACAGTAATAAGAACGTTATAATTGATTTTAAATAAGAGATCACTAAAAAGTCTACGTGTATCTCAAATTTACAGATTGGTCAGTGGATTGTGACGTAATGAGTGATAACTCTCCCATTTGTCGTATAAACAAAAATAATTATATTTCTCTTTTTTCGCTTAAGCGGCTTCTCCCTTGGGGGCACTACTCAAAAAATATAATCGATAGCATGTTTTTATCATTTTTTTATTTATCATAGTATGTATATTTACTTTCACAACCCTATTGTGATGCTCGAATTTGAATTGACACCTCAATCGAGGCAAACACACAAAAGTATTCTCTTTTCAATTGTGTCCTTAAATAAAAATGTGGTTACAATGGTAAAATCACACTTGACTAGACCGTCTGTCAATATCATACAGTTTGCGCATTTATAAATAGAAGTTGGTTTTCCCACAGAGCGTAAATGCACCTTTGAACTTGAATGGCGGTATTCATCATTTTTGTCTTTAGAGGATGAGTTATTTAGGCTTTCAGTGGTGGATATATTATGTTAGAGATCAACTTTAATTATTAGAATCCTGGATGATAGAGCGAGACGTTTTTATTTGCTTTCATTACTATATTTGGGAGAATAAAGGACCGGCGGTTACTACACCTGTTTTAGACCCCCGCTTTCTCCACTATTCTTCCTTTATCTCCGTCCATTTCTCTCTTTCTCTTCCTCTTTCTCTGTCAACCATTAACGGACTTTACCAGTATAAATCAACAATACCGTATGCATGCAACGAAATAATGTACATGTAGTTATAGGCTATGGTTAAAGCGTAAACATACTTACTATGACTATTTAGTAATACAAGAAAAAAAAAGATGTGAGGAAAATTAAAAAATACGATATTTGAGACATGTGTATATTAAAGGTACTTTACACAACTGTGTACAAAAACAGGTTCAAGACCTGGGGGTGTTTCACAAAGAACCTAAGTGAAATGTATCCCTTAGTTGGACTTAACAATTATGAAAAGCCGTTAGCATCTTTGGAAACATTTTGTAAAAAGTTATTTTAAAAATCAATCAAATCAATCATATTTGATATTATCACGAATATTTCATGTTCTTGATGTGGAAATTATGGAAAGTATTAAATACTTGAATTTTTGCTTTTAAATACATCTTTTAAAGACTGCAAATGGCTTTCCAACTTAGAGTTAAGTTTAAGTTGACTTAGGCTCTCTATGAGACACCCCCCCCCCATGAGTTTGTATCGAAATAGTCGCCCCATTTTACCCATAAAAATTGACTTTCTTTTTTCACATAAAACATAAAGTAACAACATTTTTCATCAACATGCGGTTATCACACCCCTAACCCTCTTCGAAAAACAGGAAAAGAATAACAGATTTATAAAAATGGGGGCGGGGGGGTGGGAGGAGATTGTTCCAGAAGCTAGCTCGTTTATGAATGTACTTTCTTCGATGTCATCTACTTGATATCATCTGGGGTGTCATTTCTTTATGATGGGGAAACATTAAAATGAGGTTTTCTCCAGTTTCATGCCAGAGTTTGCCATGCATGTCTAATAGCATGACAAGATGTAGATGTTTTATATTATCATCATTTCTACAATTTAATATATGATAACCATAATCCTCACTTACCCCATTCTCTTTTCAATGTTATAAAATGCGGATAAAGACATTCAAAATTCTACGTCAAAAATCGATAATCTGTACACAATAGGCTAAATTGAATTAAATCGAATTTGACTAAACGGAATCAAATTGAAGCGGTCATTATTTCGAAAAAGACAACTGCCGAATTTACATGTACATGCAATATACAAAATGAAATCTCAAATTATAACAGAATATTATTACATTCCGTAGGAAGTTCAGTTAAGAAATAAAACTTCTGACTGTTTAATAATCTAGGCTAATTTTTGTTAATAGAATATTCTTCTCTACATTAGAGCAGACTAATCTGTCACATTATTAGTCCACAGAGCATATAATGTAATGGCTTTCCAGACAGGGTACAATCTGAATACAAAGGAACGCAGCAATATTTACGCCATGGTCCTGTAAGGCTTTAAAAGAAATTTGATTCGATGTATTAATCAAGTTCAATGTACGGTAGCATAACTAAAAAGAGTAAAATGATATTTTAAAATGAAAACAAAACAATAATGACTTTACAGGATGACCCATGAAAGCTTACAAGCTTATTTAAATTGGGGCCCTAATAACAAAGTCAGTATTAAATAATTGTTACCTCATTTAAATATACAAAATAATCACATTACAAATATAAAAAAGAACATAATGTCAAACAAAATAACCTTTTAAATACTGTACTTTGATAATACCATCATAAGGGATATAACACTAATAAGAAGTTAATCAATATTTAACAATTTTCAAGTTAAACATAATTTGAAACCATATCACGTTATCACTTGCTTCTATTTATTGCGTCTCAAGTGGTAGGTACCTTTCGAATTCAACTTTAAAGTTGGTAAAGTTTTTAATTGCTTCTAAGTAGCATTAATTTGTTTAGGATAAAATTGTAGGAAAAGAGATAAGTGAAAATTGATGCCAGACGTTTAATTTTGTGTGTGTGTGCTTTGAGACATACACTTACAAATGAAAAATCAATAACAAAATTATAGCTACGAATACCGGCTTACTAAAGAGATTCATCTTGCACTCATTAGAGTAAATCGCAAAAACGAAGAGCCAAGACGAAAACGTTGCAACAGTGTGTCTGTAGTCGTTGTTATTCTTTGATTTTTTACTGTAACAATCATTTGTTAAAATATCAAAGAGAAATCAATTATACAAGGATAGAAGAATATAGTTTATGTAAAATTTACGTATTAATATATCAGTTCAAAAGAGGTACATTATTATCATATTGGATTATGTCAATATAATGTCAACTGTACAGAGGCAACTAAAATCTATCGAGAGAATGGGAATCTTCTCGGTAATTTAGTTATCACATAATAAATGATAGAATATGACACATTACAGACCAATATTAGAGTAGAGCTGGAGCAGAGAGGTACACACAACACAAATGATGGTAATAGAGTGTAACATGGATTACAGTGTTACCTTAATAAAATACAACCTCTTGCCAGAAGCAAACGCGAGCATGTCTGAGGAGAGGGAAACCAAGTTACACCAAGGACGAACAAGCTCCAGATTAAGTACATTGAACTCAACTTTCTCCTTCAGGTTCAAACCTTCAAGTTCATAGAGCCTGATCACCACTGGACCATAATTACCAACACAACTCGCTACATACACCCGGTCCTGCTCATCCACGGCCGCATACAGGCCGATTGTGTTTGATTGTAGAGAATTACCAGCATTCCCATTCCTGTCATAGACCGTCAACATTTGATGGAAATATGAACTCGTGACAATCAAGCCCGACCTGGTAGAAGATACCTGCCTCACCATGTCGTGTTTTGTTGGAATAATGTGTTTGAGAGTAAATCCAGTCGGGTCATAGACATAGACTTGGTTGTTATTGTGAGTAAGGAGGATTTCATCTGATGAACTTCTGTTTAGTATTAAAGAATTAAAGCTAAATTGCTTTTCCGTGTGGAAGATTGATTTTCTGGATCCATTAGGAGAATATATGTGTGCTTCTTGGCTACCTGTTGATATGCATAACGACCTGTCTTGTTGAAACACAAGATCACAACACCTCATGTTTCCTGGTATGTTTGCATACTGCTCCTGTTTACCAGCTGAATCAATGATATCTATACCAGTTGCACCACTATATGCGATAGCTACACTGTCATCAGAGTACGGGGTCATACCCGACATCTGTTCCCGTAGATCTACACACTGAATGACTTGCAACTTGGGATCTGATTCTGAGATGCTCCCGAGGTCCAGACGAGTATCATCTGCAGGCTTGAACCTCTTCTCCTGTGCTTTCTTCGTAATGACTGCTGCAGAAGTGTGATCAGTAGCCTTCTTCAGCATGGAATCCAGCTCCTCACAAAGTAAGGTGTGAGCAGACAGACCGTCTGTCTCAAGACGACCGAGTCTGTCATTAGCTACCAGTGATATTGAACTATAAATACTCTTGATCCTCGTTCGATCGTTGGATTTCAAGACGTTGAGGTCGTCATCGAAACTCCGCCTTACTGCATTGATTCGCTCGATGATATTTCGATGATTTTCTTCAAGCTTTTTGGCCTTGATGCTGTAGGCTTGACCGACATCGTCCAGTAATCTCTGCACCGCAGTGTATACTTCATGGCGTTGTACTTCCACATTCTTAATGTTCTTCTCCAGTTCTGATTTCTTAGTGGCACAACGCTGGACAAGGTCGTTCACCTAAACAAAAGGAACAAGAGAGAAATGAAAAGAACATTTTGTAGAATGAGATGTATGCCATTTAAATGGAGCATTGAAAATTAAAAACCGAATTTTTAATTCCATTTCTATGAATGCAGTAATATCAGATAAACAGAAATATCAATGGTGTTATTATAATAATGATAATAATCATCGTAATAAATTCAAAATAATGATAATTCTGATACTACCTATTACCAATTATGGTGATAATGATGACGATGATGATGATTATTATTTTTATTAACAATATTACTATTATCATAATTACCATTTTTCTTTTTATTATTATTATTGTTATTACTATTGATAAAAAAAATTTTTTTTTATAATCATCGTCATCATAATCACAGACAAAGACAAATATTTCTGTATTGTTATAGCTACATCAGATTAATACACATTGTTATACATCATGGCTAGGTCATGCCATTTCCTCGATCTTTTGTTTTTCTTACGAGGAGCTACATTGAGGACGTTATCATGGATTAATGAAAACATAAAATCACTGTATTTTGCTTTTTAGTACTATTCAAACTAGTCGATATACAGAGAATTGTGTCTTGTAGGGGGGGGGGGGGGGGACATTAATGAAGCTGCCACCTTGATAGGGAAAAATCGTTAGCCTCCTCGCTTTGGTGCTTCTGAGGAAAAGGGTACATTTACTAATGTACGAGAAAGCGCAGCGATCGAGAGAGAACTTTTGCATTTGGAATGGTGACACTTCATATTTTAAAACCTCTTTTTAATGGTTATACTGCAAAAATAACGATGTCAAACGTTTTCTTCCGGCAAGGGTGCGCCCCCTCCCCCTCCCCGCTTCTGGCGCATATGGTACCTTAAGTGAAACCAAGTTTACCTTAAGCCGTAACTCCTGCTCAAAATCAGTCTGATTCTTGATTTTGTGATTTTGATGACCGACGATCACACACTTGAAACAAACGTGGACCTTACAATCCTCACAAAACATATCTTTGTTCTCTTGTTTGTGGATGCAGCACTTCTCGGATTGATGACCAACGCTGACCTTCCCGTTGATGATATCCTGTATGGATACAATCTCGTGACCTTCAAAGTGTGACTGCTCATGGCTGCAGTCGCAATTAGTGCACATGTAGTAATTACACGTTTTACAAAATGAGACAGCGTCTCGCTGAAACTTGCATGCAGTGCATTTTGGACGCGTCTCAAGGACAGCATTCATCCCTCCACATTTGGCGTGGTAATCGTCTACGAGTCCGTTGACCGTCACATTAGTGAGGAAATCATCGACACGGTTCGCAGACAACTTGGTGGTATTCCTGCAGAGAGGACAGATCATGTGATCAAGGTCCTGGTGGGACAGGTCATAGTTCTTGAGACATTTCCTACAGAAGGTGTGTTTGCATGAAGTCAGGATTGTTGCCTCGTCGAAGATATCAAGACATAGTGGACACGTCAGGTTCTCTGGAGAGCTTGGAGCTTTCTCTTCCTCAATCTTCTCAGCCATTGGTACAAAAGTCAGATTTTTGGCTATTACTAACACAAGCTCACTCTACAAGTATATCCAATGTCCAATTAAGCTTACAGTTTGACCAGCTAATGTGTAATAAAAGCCAACAGTCAATTCATGCAAATACAAACAATATGCAGTGAAGTAGTAGATAGTACCGTGGACCTACTATAGTTGTACCATTATATTGTTTGTACGTAACAAGTGTGTCCTTACTGCATGCAGTTCTGTACCAATTTCTCACGTTGATTACAAATATGAAACTTTGATCAAAAGTACTGAGTCTCTATTCAGGTGTATACATCAATACAAATGTGATAACAATGCTTAGCTCACACGAGATTGCCTGTGAAAATAATACAGTTTGTGCACCTTATGAATTGAAGTTGGTTTTCCCATAGAGAAGCTTTGAACTAAATGGCGATATTCATCCTTTTCATCGATAGAGGGCGACTTTATTAGTTTTTAGTTGTGGATAAATTGACTCGAATTCACAAAGATGGTTAGTCGACGAACCTCATTTGTGAATTTGTGCCATTGTGTTGGAGATCTACTTTAGTAGAATCCTAAAGAGCTAGACATTTTATTTGCTCTAATCACTTTTTTTGGAAGGGTAAAAGATGGTTTCCACAATTACATTTCACCCCTTTCTTTTTACTGCATGTGGGGTTTAGCTGAAGATGAGGAAAGAGAAATGCGCATTAGAAAGGAGATAAGCATGAGAAGGCACAATATAATATATCAATTTACATTTGAGTAAACGCGCCCCTAACTTCAAGCGACTTTAGAAGAGCACCTCCCTCTAAAGCTCGCTCGCATTTATAGATGATATACTTTTGCTACTTATCAAAGGTATTTTCAGTCTTGCGTTATGAGAATGTGCATATAACCCCATATTAACAAGATGTAATTTTTCGAACTGCGACTTCACAAATCTTAAAATTTTTCCTTTTCGCTTCGCTCGCTCGCAAATTAATTTGAAGACCATCAAACCCAACTGTATAATGTATTATGCTTAAGCAATATATTGTACTGTGTACAAAGTGAAAAAAATATTAAAATCATCCCTCGTAATGTAATAACAATGTAGGGGTATAATCCAATGTCTAAAGCATTTTATATTTTCGCTTTGAGATTTGCCTTTGAAGATGCCCCCTTTTTTTGGTGCCCTCCTCCAACTTTGGAAGTCGCTTGGCCGCCCCTGGCCAAAATGATGCTTTTCCCGTCTCTTGATCGTATATGACTCGTAGAAAACTCTTATCACTCGTTAGAAGATCTTGATAACTCGTTGGTAGATCGGTACAAGTCGTACACAGGTCACCGCAACTCATACCAAGCTCTCGCGACTCGTTAATCACTCGGTTCACTTACACATCCATCGTAGGAAACTCGATGTTACGTCGTAGATCACTCATGCAAATATCATAAATATTTGTAAATTTTAAGCGAGTTCACTCGAGTTTACGCGAGTTCAAGCTCGCGCAAGCTCGCCACAACTCGAGACTCCAACTCGGCTAAAGTGGGAGCCATATGCTTACGTGCGTACAGTGGCTCGCAAACATGAATTCTTTAATTAGTAGTCTAACTTGATTAAACATCAGACTAAGATCCTTACAGGAGGTGAATTCAAAATGTTAGAACTACCATGATATTTCTAGGTATACTGTTTCTATTCAGGATACACCTATTAACATCCCTCACGACTCTCTGGTTCTCTCTCCCCTCTCTCTGTCTCTCTATGTCTCATTGTCTCTGTCTATCTGTCCCTCTTGTTCTTTGCCTTCTCTCTTTCTTCCTGTCTCTCTCTATATCTGTCTCATTGTCTCTCTAGATCTTCCACCAACGAATCCCTTCCTCCCTCCTTCGAATACACTCTCGTCATCTCCCCCTCATCTTCAAGCTCTCCCACCTTCACCCTTGTTCTTTTATTTTCTTCATATATCATTAATTATCTTGTCTTACACTCCATTCAACCTTTTATGTTTTTTAAAACTTTTGGTCTCCTTCTTCTTCCTCTTCTTCCCGTGTGTCTTTCTCTTATTGGAGGCTACTTTCTTTTTTCCTTTGTTTCTCCTCAGTTCACTTTAATTCATGATTATTCATAAATGAAACATGTGATTTCTTTAATATGATTAGTAGCTAGCACTTGAATCGAGCTTGATCCTTGTCATGTTTTTTTTAATGATTAAGTGACGTCGTCAACTATGGATGCCATTTTCCTACTTTTTTCCTCTTGTATTGTTGTTGCATTTTAACATTGCATAAAGGCCTCGAATGGCGGGAAATGTTTTTGAATAATCGATACACATCACTTTGCGTACATTATTAGTTGCTTGCGCTTTCTCATCACTGCATATATAATTTTATGATCACGTACTTATCCTAATCATAGTAGAAAGAAATTCGCTTTTCGACAATAGAGGTGTTCATGCCATGGCTCATCGAATAGATAATGATGATATGTGTGTGTCGTCGTACACGATTCATTGCACCCCTGCATGGTCTCCATGGCGACCATTCTGCTCATCTCATTTCTTGGGGGGTATTTCGTGTCTTCCTTTTTTTTTCTTTCGGGGGAGGGCCGGGGGGGGGGGACCGTAAGTTATTAAAAAATGAATCATATCAGTTGTGTACGAAAGTAGATTCGGTGGTAATGATTAAAAACCCTATACTTTGACGGTTAGAAAGTATTTAGAGTTGCACTGTTTGCCTAAATGAATTATGTAACAGAATTAATCCCCGAACATCATGTCGATAATCAGAGTACATCAGTGAGTATTAACCAAACTCGTTCTATCGCTATTTTGTAATTATCTAATGTGTATTTTCTGTGTCTACATGTTGCATTTTTCTTCACAGAAAGAAATTAAAAGTTCTTCGAATATATTATGATAAAGCCATGAACCAGTGAACGTACAAAACAGACTACTGTTTCCAAATCGTTCCTCTATGCCAACCTTCCTCCAACCGCATATATCATTATTTGGTAATAATGCACAATCATCACAAAGGATTCTATCTTTTTAGGTGTAACACATACTGTAAAAACAGCTTAATTTAATTTCACAACAACCAACAGCAAAGCAGAAATAAAAGTAAAGGAAAACGTTTTGCAGCGAAATGCAAATATTTGGATTAGAAAAGTCATATTTATAAATGAAATGTAGTCTCGACCGATGGTAAGCATATCGAGGCATATACCATTCCTACGAAAGCATTATAAAATATCCTACAATCTGTATTATCAGAATACTGAATCCATATCTGTTCATTATAATTAAACATATTTTGCACTCTACATGATACTTATATATTTATTTAAACGAATCCCACTCAGAACATTAAATAAACTGACGAAGGTACATTGATGTTCAAACAGTAAACTATATCAGAAGATTAGATCTTCGTCATCGTCAGCAACACCTATGAACAACACTTTTGAAGAAAATAAGTTATCAATATACTGAAATATGATGTACATGTAGTGTTTATGACTATTGAGTATTGACAGTGCTTTTTAGACAAGTTTTTTTAAACAAATAATTGATGATGATTTGCCTTACTGACTATTAGAACATTACAAGTTCGCCTTTACAGTGGACAAAATCAATATAAATTAATCTACGAAAGGGGGTTCTGATATATCATATCACTAGCTAAAATGTTGAAAGATATAACAGTAAACTCTAGCACTGTTTGGAATCGTTCCTCTTTGTTAACGTTCTTCTAACCGCATTTTAATAGCATTTTTTTCCAAAACATAATGCACAATGATTAAAAAGGAATTTCTCTTTTTAGGTGTAACACATAACGTAAAAACAGCTCATTCTTATTTTACAGCAACCAACAGCAAAGCAGGAATAACAGTAAAAATAGATGATAGATAGATAGATAGATAAATGGATTTTATTAAGATCTTCGTGTCTTGCAATTAAGAACTGAAATGAACATGAATTACAATGAACATTTTCAAAGAACATTTTCAAAGAACATTAACATAATAATATGAGATACTAATAGGTCACTTCCGCAATCCACTCAAATGCAATCGAACGGAATTACCAACGAGCTTTCACACTCGCCCGAGGAGGGACAAGCACTCCAATAGCCAGAACGCGGACCGCAAACATCAGCCGCCGCTAGACCGGACAAGCTTTAATGTTCGTCCAGCCTAGCAACGACTAATGCACGCAATCCGCACCCCGACCACCAAACACAATGATCCTCGGCAGACGAATACGATCATTTATCTCCAGGCACTCCACAAAGATATGCATTTAATCTGAATACATTACGAAAATGGTATTTGATTAATACATTAAATACATAAATCTGTGAGTATTTTTTAAAAAGACAAACAAGTTAAAATGTGTATAGTTCATACTAAATAGGGATAAATACTTTGGCCCGTATTCTGAAGTCGTGTCTAACTCCTGTTTAACTAAACAGTTGTCTAAGCAGGGCTCCCACTTAGCCGAGTTGGAGCCTCGAGTTGTGGCGAGCTGGCGCGATCTTGTGGCAAGCAGTTTTAACATAAACATACTTCTTGATATCAAGAATTCAATGCTTGATATCACGAAATCGAATTCCTGATATCACGAAATCGAATTCTTGATATCAAGAATTACCATTGCTTTACAACATAAAATTATTTCTTGATAACAAGAATTGATTTATTAAATATATTTGTGGCTTCCACCTACAAATATATTTAATAATTGAAATTTCTCCCAGGAAGCATTACATTTATAAAAGAATTGATTTATTGATATCAATTAATAACAAAACGGCTTGCCATAAGATCGCTCCAGCTCGCCACAACTCGAGGTTGCAACTCGGCTAAGTTGGAGCCCTGCGTCCTGTCTATGCCCCTCTGACACTTGCACGATTTTGGTTCGCGCATGGTTTGCGCATTATTTCGTGCCACGTTCTTGCCACAACGGGAAGCGTTCGCGGAACATGCGGGAGGATGAGGGCCAATGCGGGACAAGGCTTGA